ATATAGTAGGGAAGATCTGCATCTTGAGTTGCATGTTTACCTGGCTGCATCATTTTCTTTCTTGGGAGATGCACACATACCCCTCTGCTCTGCAATTAATACAATGGAATACACATCTTCGGTAGTGTGTTGCAGACTAACATGCATGCTAGTTGTGTCTGACTCTAGGGGTGGTACTCATCTCTGTTACAAGATGAAGAGCCAGCATTGTCGGAGGATGCTTCTGTGGTCATGTGTCCAGCATGACTAAATGCTTTTGCACATGGAACACTGTTACCTTCCCACCAAAGTGATACCTATTTATCTACTTGCAGTTGCATGCTTTCAAACCGCTAGGTTGGCAGGAGCTGGGACGAGTAAGGGGAGATCACTGTTACACAGTACTAGGGATTCAAACTGCTGACCTTCCAGTTGAGAAGCTCAGTGTCTTACTCACTGAGCCATGAAGCCCCCACATCTTCAGTATGGAGTCTCAATTTGCACAGAAATGGCTTTCCCACCCCCAGCAAAAGAGAAAAACAGAATGTGTTTAGGGACTGCACACTGGCATAAATTAGCTGTATAAAATATTGTTATTTTTGTATTGTATTGTATTGTATTTTATTGTGTTGTAAGCCACCCCGAGGCTTCGGCAAGGGGCAGCATAGAAATGTTATAATAATAATAATAATAATAATAATAATAATAATAATAATAATAATAGTCAAATGTACATCTAATGGAAATTTGTGCTTAAGTGTAGATGTGGTGCAAATTTGTGCTTAAGTGTAGATGTGGTGCAAATTTGGAGAGGGGGGAGTTCTAGATGAGACTGTTATTGAACATTCATCAGGCCTCACTCACAGTTCTTCACAGGTAGTTTGGGCAATGATGTCAATGCCTGCTTTCATTTCCAGTTTTTAAAAGCAACTTTGTGGGGTTATTTTGGAACAGGAAATAATCAAGTATTATTTGTGAAAGTGAAGCAAAGCACTAGACCCGGCCGGTGTATTTGCATTATTCCACTATGCCACAGCTCTGTCTAGAGGTGATGTAGCAGACAGCAGGGAGAGGCAGGAAAGGAAAATGATCCATGGAGAGCACCAGTCTTAATTCTGCAATGAAACTGGAAATAGAAACACTATGGATAGTCCTATAATTAATGCCAGTGGACTCCAATCCAGCAAGTGGAATGCACATGGAAGCTTGATTATGCACACAGATCTGCTCAGAAAGATCAGGCATTCATTTTTAATACCCCAGTGATTGAAAACTTTATTAATATGGAAAGATTTGCTGCCAATGCCTCAGAAAATAAATTATGTAGCAGACACCCTCTTTTATACATGATATTGAAATCATCTCCTAGATTTTCCTTACTAGCATTGTGTTAAAGGCAGAAATAGCTGAAGAACCTGGGTGGATCTTGATTTTGGGTGTAAATGGAAAAATCCCCTGAATGTGATTTGTGTTTTTTATGATATATTGATTTCTTTATGTTTGCCCAAACCATTGATGAATTTACATGCTTGAACTACATAGCAATTTTCTGTGTTTATTTTGGTGGTGCGAAATACAATTTCAGAAGCCAAATCAGTAGAGAATTATCTCAGTTCCTAGAGCTTCTCTTGCATTCTAGCAATGTGTAACCAAGGAAGTTTGGCTTTCATCTATTCTTGTGATTTTACTGTAGTCTTAACTGCTGGATTACAAAAAGGCTATGGTTAAATTGCCAATGAACTGATTGTAAGGGCATGCATTCTCATTATACATGTAATACAAAAAGGATCAGAGGTTTTAAAGGGGAACAGGCCCTGAAAACGTTCATGATAACCTTGGTATAAGCTCCACTGCATGGAGACACCACCCTGCCATGTACAAGATCAGAGGGAAGGATAATCTGACAATAGCAGCCTGCCAGGAGACATGGGAGGTCTGTCTAAGGATATTTGGAATTATGTGGGGAAAGGTAGGAAGTCTTTGGTTAAGGCAAAACTTGAACTCAGGTCTCCCACATTACCTCCATTAGGCAAATCTGTCAGTCTATAGGATTTGCTTAAATGATTTAAAAAAAAAATACAAGTGGGATTTTAAAACGCCACATTTACCCATTCAGTTATAATAAAAGATGCAATGTTTCCCAATAGAACCTCTGGGATAATTAAACTAATTTTCCAAAATTATTCTAGTGTATTCAATTACAGATTTTAATTATTTTAGAAAAAATAATTCACAATGTTAATGAAGGAGACAGTAGTAGGAATCATGATATTGCACAGGTTTTCTGTTCCTGCATTCCAAAAGCCTCATTAGGAAATGTAAATCAAATATTTGATGAATACTAAGAACCCTTGGGGTGCTACAATTAACATTAGCATTGTGACACCAGGAATAAGGCTGCATATAAGAGAAGTCAGTTAAGGTAAGTGGATTTCAGGGAACATTCGCTCTTTTGAAAATACATTCAGTAAGCTACCTAGCATTAAACACATTTTAATAATGTACAGGTTATTTAAACAAACCAAGGTGTTAGAAACTCAGGTTACACCTCATCTATGGCCTTCAAATACATGGTTTGAAAAATGCTACAGTATTAAAGGCATACAAATGGGAATGCACATGCAGGTACACATTAAAACACTCCCTAAATAAGCCAGCAAGTTAAAACACTCTTCAAAGAGCTAGATGAGCACCTGATTTGAGTGCCTGATTCTTTCCATTAAGAACTCCTCAAAGAAGAAAAACTTACTATACATATGTTTTACCCATTAGTTGGTTTGGTTTGATTTTTAAAAGCCTTCTGTGCTTGTAAGCCTTCAGAATTGGCCATCTAGCAGAAGTGCTTCAGATGGGAAGGGGAAGAAGTGCCCTCAGGATGCCTCTTATCCTGAGAGCCCCAGTCTCCTTCACTCCTCACCCCATTAACACCTCTCATTGGTAGATTTTTCAACTTTGGGGAAATGGCCAAGGTGGTTCTTTCCACACAGCTACAAGGAGAGGAAGAAGGAGCAGAGCATAGATCCCTACCTCTGAGGTCCAAACTCTCTTGTTTGACATCAGATCAGGGAATCTGAACTATCCTATACCCCCTGATGCTAGCAATGTGGATACAGCACAGATTAAGTATTTTTAGCACTGCAGACCTATGGACACTTGCTTGGGATTAATGGAAATATATGGAACCTAGTTCTGAATAAATATGAGTAAGACTGGGCTACTCATGAAAGACTTAAGTGTGTTGGGTCAAAGTAAGATTCCTCTGTTAAAGCTTTATATTTTAGGCCCGTTTCCCCCAACAAAGCAGCCTTAAAGTGACTTACATGATACCCACATGAGGACAAAGTTCCATATTCAGAATGGTATATACTAAGTAATAAAAAAAATCAGCAAACATAGGACCGTGTCAACAAAGTAAAAATCAAGGAATCAAAAAATCACTCTACACAAAAGGCATTGCAAAGCAACATAGTTGTCTAGGAGGGTCAGAATGCCTTTGTTTGGTGGTCATATAGATGGCCTGGGAGAGGGAAGTTCCCTTGCCTAGGCACCACTACTGAAAATTGCCTATCTCATGTTGCAGCCAATCATTTCTCAGTGTGTAGGACAAAGAGTGGAAGCTCCATAGATTATTTCAAATGGGTTGGCAGGTTCACTAGCAAAAGGTGGTCCTTCAGATACTGGGCTCTTGTCATATTTCTTCTTCTCCTTTTGCTTGCAAGGGTGGAGTACACACTCGGGTTTACATGCCCCAATAGCTTTGATGCTCAGGTCAGCACTGCTGAACCAGATGAGGGGATAAGTAGCTCTACTGACATTGGAACCACCAGGTGCCACAGGCTTCCTTCCTTTTTACTAGAAGTAATAGATAAATGCACAGGTACCCTGGAAGCTTTGCTTTTGCTCTGACATACACTGAATGAGAACAAGAGTATGAACACCAGTGGAACGAAGGCACACCAGGCAAGTATCAAAGGAAATCCCAGCTTGCTCCTATAAGATCACAGTCAACATACCAAAGGTCTCAAACTGTGCAGGGCATTAAAGCTATAAGCACCACTTCTCATTTTGCTCAGAAACAAATTATTTACCTGTTCTTGTGATCTGTTTGGGACTCTCCCTCTGACCAATGAAAAATATAAGACCAGGATATCTAAAGGACCAGGTTTTGCTAGAGAAGCTGTCCACCCTTTGTATGTATTCTCAGCCCATAAATGTATAAAAAGCAGATTGTCACAAAATACAATATGGGCACAATCCAGTCACTTCCATTCTCCCATCCCGCAATAAGATCATTCTGGAATAATGAATTAAATGAACTGACCTTGACCTTATCACAGTGTGGAGAAACCCTCACACGGAATTATGCAGAAATCTCTTCGCAGGATAATGAAATGTTGTATTGTTATTATATATATACATTTTAAAGAAATTGTTTCCTCATCTGCATAACTGCACTGGACCTTTATGGGAAAGAGGACTGCTAATCAACAGAAGGGGAATCACAAGGCCTGCATCAACAAAGGAAAGGGCCTCAATCAATTTAAAAGAAAGGGTGGCAGGACCCCTCTGCTTGGGGCAAAAAGGAATACACAAGAACATTTAGGATTGCTTCCAAAATTAACATCCAAATTTTTCTCCCAGCTTGGGAGTTGTAACTGCTTAAGAATGTTTGATGTGTTTTAACTGTTTTTCTATGCATTGGATGTGTGATCCAGCCTAACTATGGATCAAAGAGCAGAATATAAATATCAGAATAAAAAGCAGAGTTTTAAAACAACCATCTTTAATTTTTTGTGACCACTTGCTTTGCTTAATGTGCTTTTCTTTGAAAGGAATGGGTAGGTAATAGCTACTCCCTCCTCTGAATTACTGTACAGCAAGAATCTGAAGATTACAGCAAGAATCTGAAGAAATAAAGTGTGCATTTCTTTAATACATTGAATGCTTTTTTCAAATTTCTCTTTGCCTAAAAATAGCATCCTGTACTGTCTCTGAAGTACACCATTCTTAACATTTCTTACCTCCCAAGACCAGTTTCACAGCATTGTCCATTTCATCTTTGGTTGGGAAACGGCCACAATCCCTGAAAAATCTAGGTATATCATTTCTATCCATCTCTTTCAAGAACTCTCTCTTTGCAAACATGGTTTCATAAACTAGGAGATAAAAATGATTTATAGATTAAGCAGGGTTTGTTTTTCTGCTTTAATTATGTGGGAACATCCACAAATCTTGAATTGTCTGTATCATTTTGGATTGAAAAATAACGAATCACACAATAGTTTCCCAAATACCAATACAGCTACATTATTATATTAACATATACAATGTTCTAAAATGTACAAATCAAAGTTTTCCTGGAAAGCAATTGCCACCAACAGTAATAGCATGTCAGAGTTAGCATAGAGCAATGCATTATGGGAAGGGCTCTAGAAATTGCAGACTAGGAAGGAACTATCCTTTTCAGAGAACATGGTAAGCTGTCTCTCATATGGATAATGTAATGTCAAGGAGGGCAGGAGAAGGAGAGCTCCTGTTTTTTTAGGCTTCCTTTCCATTAATGCCAGTACCTGATTAAAGTAAGCTATACCCACACCTCCCACTTAGGCAACAGTACTGGTAATAATTGTTGCTTGGTTGCCTCAGGCTTTAATATTCTTCATCTGTAAAATGGTGGCATTATTTGGCTGCTTGGTTGCCTATGAGCAGGCATTTACACAACTCTTTTGGATTTAGATCTGTTAGAATTCCTGATCTATAGCAATCCATATGGGACTGGGGGGAGGGAGAGGCATTGTTTATTTGTTTTTTCTTTTTGGCATTGAACATTTATCATGCTTTTCTACAACAAAATGCTGCTTGTTCCCAAGTAAGCATTTATTGTATGGTCATCATTCTTTACTTATGGTTATTTACAGGTTCTTTAAACAGCATTATGATGACCTTTCAGTTTTCCTTCTATTTTTTTTAGATGCACCTCTGTAGGGGCAGTGGTTAGAATAGCGGAAATGGGATATCATTTCTGAAAGCAAAAGAACACCTTTTACTTCTCCTGTAGCTGCATTATTCTGCTACAGCACATGCCACCCAGCAGTTATGTAGCAAAAAAGAAGAAAAGAAAAGCTCTTTGTGTGGAGCATACATCTCAATTCTGCAAGAAAACTAAACATAACTACAGTAGATTAACAGCCATGTCTATAAAAAGTTTTGTATGCAGAGGTTCAGAGCAGCAGAAACAGACTCCATTGTACTCCTGCTGTTATGCTTTGAGTTTAAAAGGCAGAGATACACATGGTCAGACTATTTCTTTTTATCAGAGTTGTCAAACTGGGAAGGGGGCTTCTTGTTTTTTCCCAGAGTATGATCAGGGATATAGTAGCAGCTGAAAAACATGAACTGATGGCTGGATGCAGAAATTTTAGCTGTGTGCTTTACAACTGCGGTCATGCATGTGGCCATCTAAAACTTGTGTGGGGAGGGTAAGTCTTAAGCCCAGGGTCTAGTTACATAGCTGCAGCTACGGCAGTGACTACTGTGAACTTGCTGAATGGTATATGGTATAGAATCACTGTCCATGCTGGATGGTATAATCACTTCGGTTACTTTAGTAATGCTACTACTTAATGTCTACTACTTTATTCTTAACTACTGCCACTTCTTAATGTTTAGCATCGCTACTGTGATAGATGCTGTGCTACCAGGAAGAAACTGTTGCTTTGCCATGTGGCCCATATGTTCACTCCATATTCTGTGCTTCACTATGTCTGCCAAGATAGCTTTTTCCTCTGTGGATCATCCTGCCTGTTTCTCAAGCTAACTCACTGGGAATATGCAGGTCGTGACAGCCTCGCCTGTGTGCACTGTCAGTTCCTTTCTCGGGTTGATTTAAACATTATAGCCTTTACACAGAGCATGCACCTCCACAACCACATACTGTTTCCCGCTACTGGTGCCACTGCTGCCAAAAATATGCAGCACTGGCATGCAAACATCGCATGCAGCTGGGACAATGCCTTCCATAATTTGCTTTTAAATGTTGTGCCCACCACATGCCATGTGAAATGGCTTCCTGGCTGCTTCTGCATGAAAGGCATTAACATTTAAATTGGTGCTCAGCTCACGTAGGGATGACAGGTGACTTTGGCAGACTCATCTCTCTGAATGCTGCCAAACAGCAGTGCAGTAATTTCCAGTGGAGAAGCTGAAGGGAGAAGTGGAGGCAGATCTTTCCTCTGTCTGCCTCTCCCTTCCCCTGCTGCTTTCCTCCCAGCTGGATTTATTTCCCATTTGAAAAGCAACTTCAGGAAGGAGGGGCAGGCAACCAGGGGTTTCATCACATTCAGGGGCATAGTGGTACCTTTGGAAGTGCAGGTGCTCATTGTGAAGCTCCACACAGCCATGGTCCCTAAAGTGTTCCAGAATTTTTAAAGTCCACCAGAACAAGTCCTTTGTAAGGCTGATGAGTCTCCCATTTAAGACCATGACATTTCAAGGTACTTTGCAGGACAACTGAGAGCAATAGACTGTTGTTGGGAAAATGCATTGCTTCCCGGCTGCTTTGGAGATTGCGGCTAAACTCAGAGGGGACAGGGAAGGTTAGCGGTGGTGAGGGAGATGGTGTCAGCAACCCCACCAATCAAAAATGCTGACGCAACAGCCTGTGAGCCCTGACTCTGCTGCATCATCACTCCTGCTCCATTTCCTACCAGCTACTGGAAGTGACTGAACACCACCCCCCCACACACACACACACAATTTATTGCTGTTTGATGGTGACTTGCATGAAAAATATGAGGCTGCTGCCAGCACATGCAGCTCCACACTTAGGAAGCTGGCACAGCACAGCTGTACAACTCAGCGTTCAATGATTATGCTGCTGTCTCATACCACCACTTTTCCATCTCACCCAGTTTTGGCTACTCCAGTGGGGGCAGAAAGCAGATCTCCAGATGGTTTACACTTCCACTCCCAGCATTTCCAAACATTGGCCATGCTGGCTGGGGCTCAATCTCAGAGTGAGGTCTTTCCTATCATCTGATACCTAATCCATTTAACTGGAAATGCTAGGGATTGAACTGTGAGGTGACTGCACACAAAACCAGATGCACTGTAAGGAGTTGCTCTGAAAATATTACCAACACGTACATTTTTTCTTGTCAAGCCAGTCTTCTAGTTGGTCAAATACCAGTGGTGTTGTTAGGTCCAAGATTCCACATCGATGCTTAATGCGATACATCATTTTACGGTATTCTTTTACAACTGCTAACAAATTTGTCCCGTGACTCTTGGCCTGTAATTACAGACATATTTCATTTTGATTTATTTTAAAAATAAGGGAAGGAGGGCCTGATGAAGCAAAGGAAAAGGAAAAATTGGTAGATGTATAACATGCACCAAACTTGGAGATAGTAAAAGGGGATGAAACTTTGCAATAATGCACAACTGCCTCCACTCCTCAAACTGAAGAAATCTCTTGTGGGAATGAGCAAAGCCTGACCAAATTATTGTAGGAATTCTACACATCAAAAGTGGAGAAAAAGAGGAATATGGAGCAGCAAGGCATTCGTTTTGCCAGGGGGAAAAGTGTCTAGGAGGATGCCCGAATAGTCATTCATACACACAACAATGTAAGAAAACGATGGAGGATTAAAAGTGACTGCAACTGAGATGAGATTACACGTGACACACAAAGTGTGAATAAAGGCCATCATAACTAGGTCCTAATGATGTCTATGGTGCTTCGATATATTTAACTTAGTGTTGAACTAACTGCAGGAAATCCCACCATAGGAATCTGCCTTATATTGGGTTGATGAATTTACCATCTATCCGAATGGTGTCTGTGTTGACCAGCAGATCCCTAAATTCTCATGCTGATCCCTTTCCTACTCCTAAGCTATGGTTCTTCTACTGGGGATACCAGGAATTGATCCTGGAACTTGCTGCATCCAAAGCATGGGTTCTGGAGAAGTGATGGATGGAGCACAGGAATAGAAATAAGCCTCCTTCCCCTTCCAATCCTCTCTCTACTGTAAAATTGCTGGACTTTTATGAATTCAGAAGGATCATCATTATTATCAAGGCTGCTTAAGGAATTGCCTAATATGCCAAGGTTTCACAGAGAATCTAAGAATGGTTTCCACCATCAGTGCATCTTATTCAAACTCTAACAAATTACCTTCATCCTTATTCTTCTCAATTTGATACGCTCAAGCCATCCTCTGATAAGTTTCTGAATACAAGTAGCTGCTGAGATAATTTTATCCTTTTTAGGTGCTTTTCGGGAATGAGAAAAAGCTTCAAAGATTTCTAAGTGTGGCCCAATCCTTTTGACTTTCTCTTTAAAAGAATGCTTTTTTCTGAAATGAAGAGACAATAACACAGAAAGGATTTATTTGGGGGTATGTTTTTTAAAATGATTTGCTCATTAATCAGGTTACAACCTTTACCTCTTTAGAGTACAAAGCTTATATTGTATAAATATCTCCATTCAATTTGACATGCCAAAGATACACTGACAAAAAGAGCTGCACAAGTCATAAACTCAAAAGTTAAGATATTGTATCTCTCCCAAATAATCTCTGTGTGATTGGAGGTCTAACTGGTTAGCATTAAAAACATATATTAAAAATGTAAATTAAAAATCTCACACTGCAACTATAAGGAGCCAATACAGGAAGGATACTATTTTGAAGTGGAGAGCTATAGCAGATTATTTTGAAGCCCATTATGCTAGTTCAGAGCACCAGCAAATTTTCCTTAAGTTCAAATACCACATCCTGCTATGACCTCGTTCCACTGCAGCTATTCTGCCAGTGTATCTTTGCCACTAGAATGGCTCCACCAACTGCACAATCTATCAGTATGTCTGGGATGCTCCAGTGCTTGTCTTTTATAATGGTGGCATATCTTCCATTTCACTGGCATAACAGAGCTTCCACCCAAACTTGTAGCCCTTCAGCCAGAGGATCTTTTGTACAGCACTGTAGCCTTAATGCAGGATAAAAGCAACTGCAAATTAGAATTCTATATTCCTCAGCTTGAATAGGAAACCCATCATGATGACTTTTTAAAATATATTATTTGAATGGATTTAAAAAATAGATTGGACTTTTATTGACATTAATATAAATTACTTGAATTATACGTTTTGGTTCAGCTATTGCAACTAATTAGTTTTGGCTGATATTGAAGTATTTTGTATGCCCCATTTATAAAAGCTGTTTACCCATCTGTTAATAGGTTGGAAGTGATTAAGGGACATTTATTTTGGCTGTTGTAAAGGCCAAATAGATTTTGAGCTGCAAATATGTGACTAAACCAGCTGGAGGGGTTGCCAAGTTCAAGATCAGATGTCTGTCTCCTCCCTATCCAATCACCTACCAACCCACATCTCTCAAAGCAAATATTCTGCCTCCTTTAACAGGTCCAGCCTTCCCATTTTGTCCAAATGTAATTTCTAGTGTAATTGCAATTTGCTTTGAGTTGGCTGGAGCATGGATAAACTGAGCCAAGAGGCTGCTGCTTGCTACACAGTGACCTTGAAGCAGAATTTCTGTTATGTGCACTGATACTAGGAGGATCCTTCTTTCACATAAGGATTGCACACTCTACTGAGTAGACTTGCAGTTATGGAAAAAAATCCCCCTTTGATGGGATTTTCTTTTTAAAAGGAATACTAACAGCAGTGTGGAGGCAATACTGTTGCTTTTTAACTCAACACTGTAATAATTAGAAGCAGTAGACCACCCTTCCCTAACTTTCCAAGTGTACTCTCCATCACCTATAGCCAGCATGCTGGCTTTTATTCTGTAACTGAGAATTATTCTATAGTTGGGGTGTTTCAGGTTATATTACCAGATACACAGCACTCCCATGACTGGGCCACAATTCCAATTCTAGAGCCCATATGTTGTTGTTCTGAGAGAGGAAGCTCCAGATGAAAGCAAGAAAATTGTTTTTCTTCAGATTGTTTGTTATTTAGTAAAACATTGGTAAAGCAGGAGTGGTTGGTGGCTCGGATCCTGGTGGTGTTTCTCATTCTATTCACCCCAGCAAGCTGTTGCTCTCTACAACTTTCCTCGGCATCACCTGCCCAAAGATCCATCTACCTGCTTTTCTCCAGCTCCTTAGAAGTTAATTGGAAAGGCAGTGGACTTTTACATGAAAAGTCACTGGGCTAGTTCCAGACTAGCTTAGCAATCATTTAGACCTATTGCAATCAAGAGGACTTCCAATGAGATTGAAGCATGATTAAGTCTGCATCCAATCCACTTATCAAAACCCAAATGCCCAAATCTGAAAAGCATTTTTTTTCCAAAAACGATAGTAAAAAACCATTTCTTCACCCCTTCCCCCACTTTCCCTGCAAAAGCACCTCTTTTGAGCTTCTCACCTATCTTCATGAATACATAGACTCATGAAAATGGTTGCAATGCTACTCTTGGCCACATGCATGCCAGATGTTTTTGCCCTCATGCCCTAATAAGCTTTTCAGAAACATCTGGCTAGTCCCTTTTGGAAACAACTGCAAAACCAGATGGAGATCTGAGAATTTCAGAGTGAGGTTGGGCCCAAGCTGCAAGTCACTAAACACTCCTCTGACCCCAGAACGTCCCTTTTGCAGGAAATAAAGGAACAAATGACTTGCCCAAGGCCACACACCAGCTTCAAGGCAAAGGGGAGATCTGAGCCACAAAATTCAAACTCTCAAAATTATTTTGCCTTCACTTTGCATCCTTAAAAAATTCATTTCTCACCCATAATGAAATCTCTCTCAACCAAGTTAAGCCAAAAAATTCACTTCTGAGTCAGAGCCTTCACATTAATTTTCTTTCACTGAATGTATTCTCAAATGCTCATTGGCCTTCTGCCTCCCTTCCAAAGGAAGAAAAATCCCCATTTTGCTCTCATCCATGCCTGTCAGGAGCATCTGATTCATTCCAGCCCACGTTTTCTTCCTCAATGCTAAAGGAAGAGGCTCTGAGTAAAGCAGTCACAAAACTTAATTGGACAACAAGTGTGTGATTAACAGCCACCTGATGTACTAGCCAGTCCAACCCCAACCTGTATCTCCTATACCCTTTCCATCCAAAAACCATGAAGGTACACATTCATTCCCAGGTCTCCACTGGAGGAGCAGTCAGAAGGGAACAATGCAAACCCTTATGGTGCACCTCAATTGTCCCTATGGTGGTGTTGGCCCTGATGCATGGAAGCCCAAAGGAACCCATATTACAATCTTTAGGGTCAAAAAAGTGTTGGGGGTGATGGAAGCAATGAATTTTCCTCTTAAAATGGCAATTTTGCATGCTTCTGGCTCCATACAATAAGCCAAAAGTGAATGGAAACTCTGGCCTGATTAACACATAAATCCAATCCATGGTTTATTTAACTCATGAAGATTAAATTCTTGATTGCCATCAAGCAAACCCAACCATGCTAATTAACCATGGTTTGCTAACCACAGAAAACCTAGAAAGAGAATGCATGGTTTATTGTTGATCTGTGAACTCTTTAGTTATTTAAAACATGAGTTGCTTTGACAAGCTACAGAGGCGACAAGCAAAAGTGGTAAAACATACACACACCAGCAACTATTCATGCCAGCAATACAGAAAACAAAGTCATTCGGAACACAAAGGGAATCAGGAGGAGGGATTGACAAAACAAACTATGGTATGTTTACCTCCCAAACAAACCCTGGGTAGAACAAGCAAAATGTAACTTGGCATTATATCTATATTTGCAGATCAATATCTGTAGTCCTACACACACCTACTTGGCAGTTAAACCCCACTGAAATCTTGGGATTTACTGGTAACATGCAAAATTTGCTTTATATTTACCTTTCTTTTTTCAAATTAAGTGCAAGGGACAGATTAATCTTAAGGAAGATTGGTCATTTCCTTATCTCCACACTATATTTTTCTCGTTTCCCTATGACATCTTCCCCCCAACCCCTTTGGAGAATGACTCCACCCAACAAGGGGGAGAAAAAGGTTCTGTGGATCTCCAAGAATCCACAAAATGACAGAGACAACCAGTTTGATGACATCATACACATGAAGTGTTCAAAAGCCTCTCTCAAGCATTTCAGTGGCATAGTGAAACTATTCTGCACAAGGTGATCTGAATGCATTATGTCACTCCAGTCAGTATGTGCCACATGTCAAGTTCCTGTATCTAGTCCTACAACCTGGAAAGTAGGCATGGGTGCAGCATAGATGCAGCAATTCTGTTATCACATGGCTTGTGATTCTTCCCGATTCTCCAGACACTGTCTCAACTCCCTGCTGTTTCTGCCTTCTGTGAAACATGGAATAGGCATTGGCCACTCATGCACATACAGCTCATTATTCACATACATCACTTAGTATAAAATCTTATGACTACACATAGAACAGATTGTTATTAGACCAGATGTAAAGCTATTAAGAAGCAGACAAATGGTAAAGAATATTTAAACTGTTCCATCAAACATGAAAGACACCACCGTTTTACTGGAAATTCTGTCAGGCACTAACTTTTGTGATTAAGCATCTTTGAACTTCAGCAGATGAAAGGATTATCACTGAAAGCATAGTAATCTGTTGAGGATTAGCAGCAAACTGTTGGAGGACTTGAACAGAGGAAAGGTGATTTATTTATGAACTGCAATAGGATAGGAAAAAATAATTTAAAAATCATATAATTTGTGCTGAACAAGGATGCAATATTTGGAACAATAAAGCAAAAAAAAAGGTATGTGAAACATCCCATATATTTTTCTGCTGGACCCATGTAGCCTGGCTCTTTTATAGAAAAAGACAGGACTTCCCAGATCATTATGAAGCCTATGCTAATGATTTCTGTTTCCTTCCTAGGCCAGGTGTTGTGTTAGATATAGGGTCTGGGCCTGCTCTTCCTATAACACGGCCTTCAAATGTTGCTCACTTAGATCCTGATTCAGAAACAGAGGAGGAATACGTAGGGTTGCAATTTGTAGCTGAAATGCCAAGGCCAATAGGCCCAAAGATAATCCAGGTGTTCACTGAGAACCACACAGTTTTACATTTGGTGGGAAATTCTAGTGAGCAAGCTGAACTGGGCAGGGGTGAACTTTGTGCAATCTTTCCTCCAATCATATGGCATCCGGTTAAGAGGCAGACCAAATGAGAAAAGTCAGACATTCCAGGTGATTGG